AAAGAGACGATTGCCCGCATCAGATCAATTCGTCCAAGGGGCGCTTAAATAGTCTGATGATCAGGGTCTCATCCTCCACCACCCACCTAGGCTTTCGCTGATGCACTCAACGCAAGGAATCCCAAAGGCTCGGATGCGTGAAGAGCATGTGGGTGGTCAAAACTCCTGCCCAAAAGGGCCGAGTGAACTTTCAGCTGGAAACTGGCATGGCAATTTGAGCCTGGTGACCAGGTCCTCACTGTCAATTGGGGTTCGTGTGCCACTCAAGACGCTGGCGACTACAGACCGTGGCATGAGCAGCGGGATAGGTGTTCAAAGGAAAACCTTGGAAATATCCTGTGCCCTGTATTCAATCAATCATGAAGCAACAAGCCCACCAGCTTCATGTTCAACCCTAAACCTAGAAAGTGAAAGCTGCGTTCTTCCGCCAGTCTGTTACCTGAAGGGCAATGATGTGCCATGTCTACACACACATATTCACATTCATCAACACAAAGCAACTGTCAGCGATTCTTTTACAGGTAAAGGCAGCTTGATGAGTCTACACATATCCACTCACGGCGTGCATTGGTGGCATGTGCTCGAAAGTGGCTTGCGAACTTGAGTTGGTGGAACTTAGCTGATAGTATTTTTTGCATCTGAAAGGAATTGCGAGGCAAGGAACAGTCACCGATGGGATCTTGCTGATTGATGCAGGGACCAGTACAGGAAACTAGGCTTAGACCACCCACTGGGCTTCACTTCTTAAAGTGTTTCAAGCTAAAATATTGCGGTGAAACGTCTCAGCAAGCAACATTATAGCAAAGTAAGTCGCATAAGCAGCCAAGGCAAGTACAACGCCTGGTACGGATCTAGCCTTGGCAGGGCTCATTCTTGAATCATGCAATGTGGGCTGAGGATAATGTTCAGGTGGACAATACAATATCACCCTGCTCGAGCTTTAATGATCGAGCAGAAGTAGGCCTATTGCGTTGGAATGCATCCACTTTGCCTTTGTCAAAGCATTGCTGAAGGCGAACACTGCGCATTCAGAATGGCCCAAGGGCTGTCGCAAGGTTTGTCACAAGTCCCTCCGAGAAGAAATCCCCATTCCCTGAAATCTGTGATGCAGCCGGATGAATAAACCCTTTCCAAAAGCACCCGGGGTCAATAACATTGCAGGAGACGGGTGTCAAAACAAGGGCACCAACTTGTACCAACCCAAAAAACATGTGTTTCCTTTTGGCTTCCCTTTGAAACCAACCCCCCAAACCGTGCTGGAGCTCAAACAATGACCCAGGGCTTTGGGAATGAACCGGACGAGGATTCCCTTGAAGAAACCCAAATCGGGGATGTTATTGTTTTTTTTCTTCTCTCGGGGTTCCATGTCAAATTCCCTGCATCTCTCGCACTCGCAAGCGACGCACGGGCCCGCGCCATGACTTGAAGCGGTAGACCTCCTGCACGAAATCCCCACACAACGGCTTGAAGGCCTCGCCGTTGAGGTGAACCTCACGTGGCCAACGAGGTAGGGAATGAGGGAGTGGCCCCTATAGACCATCCCTTCTAGTGTCCTTTATGAGAATCCCCTTTTGGTTCATTCCCAAAACCCGGAAGGTCATTCCGGGCCCAAAATTAAACAAAAGACGCTTGATGTTTTGTTGTCCCTTCAAACCAGGGTGCAAACTCAAAAGGAACACCCATTTGGCTATAAATTTCAACAGGGAATCCTGTGAACAGTGGCTGGAAATGAATTCCCCGCTCAAATGGTGTCAAACATATATCTCCCCTGTCTTGCTAAAGCCATTTGTGGTATGTGAAGGGAACCAAAAGGAAACTCTTGCAATTTGAGGCAAGCCTGTGGAGTCACAAACACTTTGCCATGCATTGCAAAACATCTTAGAGCTCGGATCTCCGAGAGTCGTGTTTCGCTGCCGGAAAAGGGCATAGGTGTCCTTTGGGGAAAACAAATGAAACAGGTCAACCAGTGTCATCTAACTTCTAATCAAGCTAACCTAACAAGGACACCTCTGGAAGAGCCACTGGTGGCAACGAGAGCCAAGGGAAACCTCCAAGGACAGAAGCAAACGGATACTTGACTTCGTCAACCCCGATCATAGGTAGATTCCTTTTAGTTTCCCTTCAAAAACCAGCACTCAAGAACGGGAACACAGCCTCAAGGCCACACGAGTTCACACCCATTTCACAGCCCTTGACCTCCTTCTTCCAAACTTCTCAAACCCTGGCAGCAAACCACTTCGCATGTTGCAGCCCACTAAGAATGAACAGGACCGAACACTTCCAAACTGACCAAACACAAATGAGTGTGTCTTAAAGTAGGGGGACGGGCAATATATTCCGTGTTTCCCTCAGATTTCCTTCAGCCCTACCCCAACCCCCCCCCCCCAAAGCATATGTGAAGTTCCAAGCTCCCGGCCTTCAAAGTCTTGGAGGACAGCTCCACCTTGATGTCCTCTGCACTCCAGGCCTTCCTCTCCGGCAAGACGCCCTGCCGCGGTACTTGTTCTCTTTCAAGGTGGTCTGTCATAGCGTGTGGAGTGCATCTGAGGTCCAAGTAAGCCAATCGACCGACCGACCAAACGACCGACCAGCAGGGGTGCTCCAAAGATCGATCATCGCAAGGGTAGACAGTTGGCCCCTGGCAACAGAAAAGCAGAAGAAGGACCGCTATAATCATCTTTTAGAGGCTCGGAGCAACAACGAACCAACAGTAGGCCGAGTGTTGCTTGCACGCCACCAACAGTTGGCGCAACATGTATAATTTGATGTCATTTGGCAGCCAAGGGCAGGTGTATGTGTTCATAGCCCAGCGCACAATATCACCAAAATTACTAGCAGCATCGGCCTACGTGATCATGGAGCAGTTTATCTTCTTCAGGACAGACAGGTTGGCGCGTCCAGCCATAGAGAATCACAGGCTACTCTAAAAGGGAACTTTAACCCGTCAATCAGAATCAGAAGTATCCATTTATTTCTCATGTTCAGCCTGAAGTTTTTGGAGGCCAAGGTCGTGGAGTCTGGGGAGTCCGGGCATCGTGAAGAAGGGCACGATCTGGGGATTGGCACTCACCTTCTCAAACCAAGATCTGCGCGCCAAATCCGGTGCTGTCTGAACATCTGTACCAGTGTGGTGTCTTTTCCGCCCGCTTGATTCAAAGCTTATATAAGCCACTGCTGCCTCAAACGTCGCGCCAATTCTTGCGCTGGGCCGAAGAACGTTTGTAGCAGCGAATCTGCCCCTGTCCACTTCCTTGTCCAAAGCCGTGTGTCGCCCCAGAAGCGTTGCTCGCTGGAGAGAAGGCGCTACGCGCTGGAAGCACATCTGTCCAAGGCCTGTAGCCGAAGGAAAAAGTGTTACGGGGGTGCTTAGCTTAAAGTCTAGCTCTTTTTACTGAAAGCCCAACCTCAAAAGGATCACGGGAGGCTCCCGCACATTGTTGGAATCCTGAAGGATGACAAGCGACGGATTGCGGCAAGCCAGCGTTGGCTTCTGGGTTGTTCCCCCATGTCCTCCCCAAACCAACAGTAGACTACCAATAATCGTTGATCGTTACTCATATGAATTTCAGGATTTGCTCGGCAAGTGCATGAACAAAACCAATTCCACAGCAAAAGAGGCGTGAATTCCGCATGAGTCTCGCTACACAGCAGACTTTCAGAGTTCCAAAATTCTTAGCACGGAAGAAACATGGTTCCAAACAGGGAAGCCAAGGAAAACCGTTCACTAAATGTTCCACCCTTAAGGTTTGGCCATCAGTCGAATGCTCCCAACTAGCGTGATTTTGATGAGCCATGTAGCACATCAGGACCAATCCCGTACCTACCAGAAGGCCTCAATGCAAAACCTTCAATCCGAACCCCTTAGAAGCTTCTTGGGCTATGGCTTTGGGGATAGGTTTCTCCCCTTCGGAGGGCGTCAAGCCTGGGTCTCTGAGTGTCTCTCCCTGCCTCAGGTCGGTGAATGAGAGTCAGCTGCCCCATACTCTGGGACCATTGCACCTGAGCAGACAAAACTCCTTCTACCGCCTAGGGCCATGGTTCCCTTTATAGCTTGTACAGGAACGGCTCTTTTGCCTTCATTACAGTAGATAATGATAAAACAATTTGCAGTTGAAAAACCCTATGCTAAACGCGGCTAAGACAGGCAAACCTGAAAAAGGGACTCAAAACGGACTTCCTGCAAAGAAGGCTCCTCTACTGGTGCCTTCCACGTCAAAATCTGGAGGGTAAACGGTAAAAGGGAGTGTGGAAAAAAAGAACAAAGATCCACTGGCGTCTTGTTCGGGAAATCGGACAAAATACGGGCGACTAAGTGTCAAAAAACAAACATTACTGGGGTTTGCGGGTTTTAGTGGCTGGTTTTGCCTGGCCCCAAATGTTCCTCGATCTCTGTATCATAGACCGACATGTTGACCGAATCCATCGATTTTTGAACTAGTGACCTCCGCAACTCTGAAAATACCATGTTAATTAGTCCCCTCAAGGGTTGTTTATGTGTCCCCTTAACACGCACCAAACATTTATGTTAAGTTGCCAAGACGATGATGAAGGTGAGGACCACGACTACAACAGCGACGATGACGACGACAATGGTGGCGGTGGTGGCGGTGGTGGTAGGGATAATTTGCCAATTGAAATTGCAGCGCTGCCCTTGTGGGCAGTTGAAATCATGTTGCATGGCTCAGAGTCTTACATTTTACGTAGATGTACTCCGCTGGAATGCAAACTCATCCGCACGTGGTTCAATGTGCTTGACGCTGCATCTCCTATTCGTTCCAAGAAGCGAGGCAAAAGCCCGGAGTCCTCCCGTTTCAACAAGCAATGGAGACCAAAGAGTCAAAGTTGCAAATCAGGGGGGCTGAGTTGCGAAGTTCATCCGCTTTTGGAAGCATGGTGTCATCATGTGGCATGGCCTCAGGGTCAAAGAGGTCGATTTTGGCTAACGGCGATTGGTCAGTGCCCTGCGAAATCTCAAAAGTCACGAACACCTGTTGCAAGTTACAAAGGATGTGTCGTCTGTCTCTGATACCCTTTTCGGGGTGAAAGTGAACCTCAAGGAAGAAAAAAGGGCTCCGTCGTGCGAAGACACTCATATCCAGAATCAACGGAGCGGGCAAAGCCAAACCACCTTTGGCTCAGCTCAGCTGAAGGGCAAGCGAGATCGGCATCTTGAAGCATCCCACGGCTCGTGAGCCTTGCTTCTCTGGGCGGTATCTTGGGGGTCTGGAAGAATCAAACAATTGTCCAGCCCCATCTGGTTTCCTCAGAGAATAAAACCTAGCGATGTTAAGATGGTCCAAACCCAAAGGTATAAGGTCCACAACACTGGACAGTGAGCATTTAGTTGGGTTGGGCCAACCCCTTGTTGCAACGTGTTTTACGCACTAAAACAACCTTCTTCGGGTTTCCATTAAAAGGGGCCAGGCTCTAGTTTCTCACACCAGCTTCGCACACAGCCACACACACACACACATCACACATCCAGAAAGGGTTATCTACCTATAGCGGTTCCACTAGGGCACGCGTTCTGCCCGGCCCTTCAACGTTTGCTTGGAAGGCCTCTACATCGTTTTTTGCTTGGTAGGCGTCATGACTAAAAAGGGGTGAACTCCGAAAACTGGGCTGTTCAAAAGGAGTCTTCGCCGATCCAACGCCATCATCCCTATTGGAAAGCCACTACAAAGCGCATTCGTAACCCAAGGCACCTGGAAGAGCAAGCGCCTCGAGGAGCCCACTAGCCATGTTGGGAGCAATGTTGGGAAGGTGGGTGTACTCAAAATCGTGTATTTTTGTTTCGTCCCGCAAAATGGCGCAACGGTTTTCCTTTAGGGAGACTACAGCCACCAAAAAAGAGTAGGTGGTATCCCGTATCCCCAACAGCCAAGAAAAACAATCTGGAACCAACAGCCCCAAAAGGACAACCTGAAACCGTCCAGAACCCTCTTAACAAGGGCTACCCTAGAGCCAGGCCAACCCAAAACGGGCTTCCCTGCCGGGACCTCGCCAGCTGGGACCCCGGGCGCTGTCCTCGCCGCCAGAGCCGCCTGCATTGCTGCCGAACCTCAGCGCCCCGAATTCGAAGTCCGACTGCGGAGGTTCGCGTTTCAGGAAGGTCCGTAGGCAAACACGAAGCACCCTTGTCAATCAGTGGTTTCGTTTGGTGGTTTGGTTTGGTGGTTGGGTTTGGTCACCTCAACAACAGGTGGTTTGGTTTGCTGGTTTGGAGGAGACAGCTTCCCATTAACCCGCCATAAGGACAAGGGGGTTGGAGGTGATGAAAACACGCCCCACAAACAAAACGAGTAACAAACTCAGAGTTTGTCTCAAAATTTGACCCTCAAAGTGAGCGGTTGGCTTCCTTTTAGCTTCCCTTGAAAAGCCAGCTCAAGGAGGTTCAAGCAGAAACAGAAACAGACTCGCCAATGTATATGGGTGTGGGTCAATATTCTGGTGTGGAACGTTCCGCGGTGACGCGGACGTCTGGAACGAGTCAGTTACGTAAGGCTGGTTGTTCCGGACCTCTGGGAAGACATGTGTGGAGTCCTCAAGCACACGTTCATTTAGTGTAAGATGGATAGATGCATGAATGAATGAATGGGTAGATGGATGGATGAAGCGATCAGGGGCGCGCGGCCGTACGATACGGCACCTCCTTGAAGGCTTCTTCGGCGGCATGGCGGGCCGCGTAAGAAGCGTAGCTACTGTGCATGTGGACTTGGTGGCAAATTGCTCCGCTGTGTCTGGAACACGTCTGGAATGGGTCTGGAACGGGGTCTGGAACGGTTACGCGAGTGGCTTGCACTTGGTAGCAAGCTGCATGTAAACATGGTCGTTTCAACAATGTGACGACCGAGAGCGGTATCGAACCGTTACCGTATCGTATCGAACAGATTGCGGCGGGGTTGACCCTTAACATTCACAGGCCGTTCCAAAAACACATCTGTCAACAGGACCGCTGCTTAATTCCATCCAAGTCCCAATGATTACAGGCCACGCAGCCCCAACCACCAAAGCTCGACAAGCAAACCCCATCGTTAGCACCTCAGGCTTCTCTCGAACACCAGCCTTAACGCGTAGCATTTGGCAAAACAAAGGGGGGAGTCAATAACCTACCAAATCACCTTACCGTAAATACTCTAAACTAGACATAAATATATAAACAAGGTCTGGAACGGAAGGTCTGGATCATGTTTCTAGGCAAGGTCTGGAACGGAGGTCTGGAACGGAGGTCTGGATCGCATGTGGGTTCCGGACCCTGTTCCGGACCGTATAAATTGACTCGCAGCCATATGTATATTAATATGTATATATGTATGTATGACTCTTGTACAAGAAACTTTGAAGTAAGAACCATGCCAAGCGCACTTGATCCTCGAAAATATGCCAAAATGTACTGTTTTGCGGACAAGCATACTAGTGTTGACCCAGGATGAATCAAGGGACTGACCAAGGGGTGTTTCAGTTTAGAAGGAATTCCAATTGTTTGGC